GCGGGACGACTTCTTTCTCCCGACTAACACAAAACTCATTTGTGATAGCTTCTACAAAAATCTATTGACGTTGAATTTGCTTCTTCCATTGGGAGTTTTCATCCTGGTATCTCTCGGCATGACAAATCATTGAAAACTTTGGACAACGAAATACACCGAGCCGGCAGAGGATATCGGAAATCTTTATTTCATTTATATTCGTCATCAGCAAGATTTCAACGGACCGAGATTCCTTACGGGTATCCCCTGAAGAGAGCGGGGACCCTTCTTGCTGTCTATTACTCGGCCGCCTATTCCGTGAGCGCTGTACCCAAACACAGTCACTCTTGCTCAAGATCAATCCATTCTGCGCATTGGGGCTCGACGAGGTTCATCCAAGGATCCTGAAGGAAACGTCCTCCACACTGGCAAACAATTTACACATGGTGTTTAGTCAGTCGCTTGACGAAGGCCGTCTTCCCTCTGCTTGGAAGAAAGCGATTGTCACGCCAATCTACAAAACTGGTGACCGACTATCGCCTGGCAGCTATAGGCCTATAAGACTCACTAGCGTGCCGTGCAAGGTGATGAAACGCATTCAGGAGTGAGCTATTCTAGACCACCTTACTTCCAGCAACCTGATATCTGCAGCTCAACACGGATTTCTCCCGAACCGCTCTTGCGTGACAAACGTGCTCGTGTTTATGGGTAGCTTAACCCAAGCCAAGGACGAAGGACTCATATCGGGTGCCACATTTTTCGACTTCTCAAAAGCATTTGATAGGGTCCCACACGTCCCGCTGCTCCACAAACTCGAGTCCTACGGGATTCAAGGGAAAATCCTTCGCTGGATCAAGGCGTTCCTATCAGACAGGTCATTCCGAGTGAGAATAGGCTCAACCTATTCCTCTCCAGCGCCGGTCTCCATTGGAGTTCCTCAAGGCTCCGTCTTGGGACCACTCCTGTTTCTGATCTACGTCAACGACCTCCCAGACGTTCTTGCGAGTCCATGTTTACTTTTTGCGGACGACTTGAAATCCTGGAGTTCCAATGCCAGTGCCCTCCAAATGGATGTAGACGCTGCCAAGCAGTGGTCGTTGGACTGGCACCTTCCTCTGAATGATGAAAAGTGCGTCCATGTGTCGTTTGGAGGGGATTCAGCGAATGCCTTTGTTATGCATGGTGAAAAGGGACCAGAAAACATCATGAGGATAGATGCCAAAAAAGATTTAGGCATCTGGGTCTCCTCAAACTTGTCCTTCGCACTACACCATGAGAAATCGGCCCAAAAGGCATTCGCCGTTTTACGGATGATCCGACGTACCTTCTCCCGTATTACTCGCATGGACTTCCAAATACTCTATGGGGCCTACGTCAGACCGCTCCTGGAGTACGCCAACCAAGTTGTCTACTCAGGACGTACGAAAGACGTTACCCTCATTGAGCGTGTCCAGCGGGCCGCCACGAGAATGGTTGCCGGCCTCAAGTCCGTGGACTACGAAACGCGTCTCGCGACGCTTGATCTCTTTCCCCTGGAGTACCGTCGCCTCCGAGGGGACCTAATTCTTACCTACGCCCTGTTTGAACAAAGCTTGGCAAACAGGTTTTTTACCGTTGACCCAGCAAACACCCGGCGGGGACATAGTAAGAAAATCTTCAAGCTCAGGGCACACACATCCGTTAGACAAAACTTTTTTTCATTTCGGGTAGTAGCTGCGTGGAATGACCTTCCTCCGACGGTTGTACACGCTCCTTCTCGAACCCAATTTAAAGCACTATTAGACATTTATTTATGCGAATCCTCGCGCTGGCGAGCATACTGCCCCGCGCTGAGAACATAAAGAGCAGTGCTACACCCTTTTTTCACTTGTGCCTTTCAGGTGAACGACAGCCACTGACCGACAAGAACAAAACCGACCCGGGAAACTTGGGCAAAAGCCTCGATCCTGTGTATCAATCCGTGAATCCGTGAAGCTACCTGTCTATGTTCCACCGACGGTAGTTTTATCACTAATCCTGCTAATATAGCCGACCACTTGAACGCCTACTTTGCCAGCTGCTGATTATCTCTTTCTGCGAAGCCCAATACCACAATCTATGCCGCTCATTTCACACCTCCGCGACAGAATAACAGAATAATCCGTCATACCTCCTGTTGCAGCGAACCCTCGAACGTCCAGCCAAAGGCCCGTTAATCAGGTTACTCTTGGCTGCAAATGCCATAGATGACCGACAGTGATCCGTCAATGGCTGCCACCTTTATTTCCTTGAGATCGTCACTGCAGCCTATAATGCCGGACACTATTGCTACAGTCTATTTGGTTATCCAGAAAGCCTTTGACCATGCATCCCTGCTGAAGAAACTCAAATCTGTTGGCATCACTGTGTCCTTGCTTCGCTAGTTCATCTCCTATATATCTGATAGTTCACAGATAACGCAGATTGGTGACAAATATTCCTTTCTACTACTGATCGCCAGCGGAGTCATTCTTAGGAGCGTGTTTGGCTCCATCCCCTTCCTACTGTATATCGACGACATCTTCGACGCCGTGTCCCATGGTAGATCCTTTCTTTTTGCGGACGACATAAAAATTGCTTACGTATTTCCTGCCTCCGATAAAAGCCGTGCCTTTCGCCAGATCGAACACGGCAGACTGTCTGACTCGCTGGTCAAATGCCCATGGACTAAGCTTCTCTTTTTCTAAGTCCCACATGACTTCCTGTCGCTGCTCCGTCCCACCTGATACGATACTGCATTCTCTTGGTTTACTAAGCTCGCATCAGGAACAGTCTCTGAGGTCGTTCTCAGAATATCACACACCAACATAGGTTTTCACAATCTATAGACGATTTTCTTACGTGTGAGGTCACAGACGCCCTACACACCACCCAACTGTTCCCCGATCTCCCTTATGAAGTGAGTCCAAACCAGCCCCGAGTTTGGGGAAGCTATGCTTAGTGGACGAAAAAATAGTGAAAACAATGATTAAAAATAAGCCGCCCCCTTACTATAACTTGCTACGTCTGCCTTGCTCAAAGCAAGTTATGCCGTGTTCCTCCCAGCTACGTTAACGCCCTGGACTACTCTATCCGCCCTGTTTAATGAGTGGCGCCCCGTCTTGCCTAACCCCAGGCAACGTGAACCAAGCGAAAGTCGGAGTTCCTCATAACTGCGTACGGACTATACGCCTCACAATCCATTCAGCACATGCACGCAACATTGCGGTTTCCCACTGCTTGGGTCGATAGCTCACACTCTGTCATCGTTTAGCCATGGTTCGTAAGCTCTGGTCATCTCCTTTCTGTTTCCATTGTCCCAATAGTAGCTGCCCCCTCATTTACCTCGGTGACCTGCCTTTTTCAGCCTCTGTTTGTCGTTCGCTTGTTCGAAGTAACTAAGCTGTTTTACTGGCTTGACTTTCCCTCAACCAGATAAAATACCTGGTAGTGGTAGGTAATTTTTTTTTACTAATGCATAAGCTCCAATTATGACCGCTTGGTAGCATGCCACCTTGCAGAAAGAAGCGTGGATGGACGAATAATCGGGCTAGTGGAGTGTATAGGGGGCATGTACAAACGATCGAGGACGGCGGATTAGCCCGACAGACAGAAAGCCAGAGTCTGGTGTGTCCGCCATTAGTGGATCGTCAATAGGGGAGACTTCCATTCCAGTACTGGAGCGTATGAGGTAGACACCCTCACAGCAGTAAAAACGATCGGAACGGAAGATAGTTTATCCCGGAATTGGGGTAAGGGCTTCAGGCGTGCTAGGAAGGACGCACGCCCCAGTGATGCTTATGAAGGTGGGCAAGATATGGTGGAGATAACCTGGATGTAGTGCAATTTACGTAAAAGAGAGAGGGTGTTGATTAAAAGGACAGAAATATTACAAGCGGGATCGGAGGAGATGGGTAGGGTGGCTAGTAAGATGTTGGCAAGCCCAGGGAGTTCAGTAGGGAATGGAATAGGAGAATCGGGTGTACCCGAATCGGTGGGCGGGTTAGGGCCCGGAGATGTGTGAGAATAAGACGCTGGCACGTACCGTGGTGGATATGGAGACAGCGTTTGGGTGGCAGCGCAGGCAGCGGGGCTTCATGGACAAAGAGTAACAGGCTGGGCTGGGTAATCGTTTGTAAAAATGTAATAAATGTAATTCGAACATGACGTCGTGCGTGGCAACCGAACAGAAACAGCAGGATTTAAGTCGCGAAAGACGGATGAGCACGTGAAATGTTTAGGAAACAGGAAATGAGAGGGTAAGACAGGAGCACTAAGAGGGCAGGAGGATTTATCGTTTAGTGCATTCAGCATCGAATCTTAGGGGGTGGAGGGCACCGGTAGTCAAACTAGGCCGTTTGGAGGAGATGAAATAAGAGGCATATGGTAAGAGAGGCAAGATAAACGAGGACGCGGTGTAGCAAGGAAGTTACTGGTGCAGTCAACCTCCGCTGGAAGTGAACCGGAACACTCCACGATGGTTGTAGTGGAGGAAAATCTAGAGACAGAAGTCAAGATACAGATAAATGTCCTGGAGGTTGAGCTTGTAGCACTTGTAAACTGCTCTTTTTCATGCTCAGTATCATCTTCTTTTTTCCCATCATTACCAGTCACATCGCTGTACAAAAGTTTGTTTTACTGAAATACAACCGCTACCGCCGCGCGTTGGCTCCAACGTGACTTTGAGACTTCTGCTGAGTGACTGTTGTTGTGACCGCCGGTTAGCTATATCTGACCGCTGCTAATACTAAACGTGAACAAACATTTCAGCTACAAACGCTGGACTAATATATTCACACTTGTGGAATAATATTTCGATCACCGGAGATCTGGGATACCAGGAAGATAGAACTATTCTTTGTGTGGTGGTTCAACGGAATACGGAACTACGGAATCTTCTATTTTGAACTGTGGGTCAAGATTTACTTGTATTTTTCTCTTTGTGACTTTGTATCTGGCTTACACCAGTAATTTGTTCAGTTCACTAGAGACTCCATAGGGCCGTTAACCACTACAAGCTGCACATGGCTTTAGAAAAGGTGAAGGCCACAGAGTATGTAGGTAGGTAGTTGCCAAAAAATGTATCCTAGATAAATAAAACGTGGGTTGCCAGAAGGACGGATCTTACTGAGGGCTAGGATTAGGTAATTGTAGCTTTGGTTTAGAGATCCTGTCAGGGAACTGGTTTGTACGGTTCGAGGGTCTACAGATGCACTTATGAGGGGTTCGGGTATAGTCAGGTTTGTAGAAGAGGAGCGAAGAGCAGAAGCTTGGGCAGTTAATGTAGGAGTATGTTGCGAGGCTTGGACAGCAGGTGCTTGAGCCCGAGAAAGGGCTTTGATGGGGAGACACAAAGCATCATTAAGCCAGTAAGTCTACAGGAAGAATCTGTGCTGTCATCCTTGGCTACATCCTCATGTATGTTTTGATTAGATACCGTTAAATCGGTTAAATCGGCTCTCAAACTAGTTGGTGTGGTGAAGGCGCCCAAGGATAGAAGCGGAGAGCTCATGGTCATGAGCGTGCGGTACGGTGCCTGGCGCCAGCAGGCAGGTTTGTGCGACGTAGTGGCACGCATTATGCTAAACGGGAAACAGTTTTGGGTAACTTTTCAGTAAGTTGTCTGCATCAAGTACGGGCAGCCTTAATTTTTAGGGTTCCGAGTTTTTAGGCAGAGGAGATAAAAGCTTAGGATGTTGTCAGACGTGCGACATTATTTTTATCCCAGCATTGCATTAGTATTGAACAGTACATGAAAGGTTCTGGCCTCCGAAGATGCCGAGCTGTGCGCGTTGTGGCGTGCATACCGCATGCAATCAGCATGGCAGTTTTGGCAGGCTCAAGCGGAATTCGACCAGGTGCATCGGATCTTAGGAACTGATGCCAGCATTCGATGCGTTGACAAATCTCGGAAGCAATCGTGTCAATAAGGATTGACGCTTTTTCTAGGTTGTTTGGGTCGTATGCTGTGTCAGGATCCAGGGGACATGCGATCGACTGTATGTTTCGGAGGAGGGACATTTCTTTATCCAACTGGTGCAGACGTGTTCCGAGATTTTCATGGTCTTTCAGGACCTTAAATTCTAGTGGTAGATTTGGGAAAAGGGTGTTGCCAGGTTACGGAGGCAAAAATAAATCATTTCGTACTACTGAACAGCCCGAGGTTACTAGGAATACCGTCTTTGCTGGTATCGAAATGTGAAGGGGTTGTAAGCTGGGCTTTCTGGTTCCGAGTCGCTTCTTTGAACCTCATGTCTATTGTTCCCTACAAGTTGCGAAAGAAACATATTATTATTATTTAATCGAGTACTTCCCACTGTTTATGACATTGTCCCCTTTGCTCGCAATCCCCACTACCCGCAAATCCCCCTGTCATACCCCAGCCTGACTGTAAACGCATGATCATGCCAGACGGTATGCCGCCCACAAGTTGGGGATATACATTATTATAGCTGGTGGGGATTCGGGGTCTAGCAACCGCCTCGAGGTTATCACCAAAATGAATTTGGATATCTGGCTCTTTTCAAACGTGTCCTTCGTTGCACCACGAGATATCACCTTAAAAAGCATTTGATACTCTACGGATGATTCGACGCACCTCCGCGTCGTCTGCATGGACTTTCAAATACTTTATGCGTGTCCACGAGCTGCTACAAAAATGGCCACCGGCTTTACATCCGTGTACCATGAAACGCGTCTCGTGTTGCTTGACCTCTTTTTCTGCAGCATCGTCGCCTCTAAGGAGACCCAATACTTACCTATGTCCTTTTGCACAAAGTCTGGCTAACGACGTTTTCAATGTTAATCCAGCCAACACATGGCGCTGACATGGCAGGAAGGTTTTCAGGCTCACAGCGCACACCTTAACTAGGCAAAACTTCCTCATTTCACGTGGCCATTGCGTGGAATAAACTTTTTCGACGGTTGTTCACCCAGTCCAACGTACTATTAGATGCTTTTCATCCGAATCATCGCGCCGACAAGCTTACCGCGCATTTATCTGCATTGGCAATCCCCTTACTTTATCATTCTCAATTACGCTTTTTGCTACCCTGACCCCAGGCCCAACAGCCCAACGCCACGAAGCCTCGGCGGTGGTTTTTTGTTTTAGTTTAAGTTTTTGTGAGGAATTTTCATTCGTCAGGCATTTTGAATGGAGAAATATGTTGCCTACCACATATCATGAGTAAACCTGTCCAATCGTCTTACTGTTATGAGGACAAAATTACAACTTGCTCGGCTTGCCCCGTTTTTGACAAGGAAAATCCGTGTGGACACCGATATTTTGATGTCAGGACTCAGTGAGTATGCGCGTTATTAGACGTAGTGATTTTAGGGCCAGATAGGGGTGTGCACTGGCAAGTCGTAAGCTAAGCCAGTATAGACTTGACTCGTAGAATTTTGGTGCCTTGGACATCTTCAAACGTGTATAGATGGAGCCGTAATGACGATCTAGGGAGTGAGCTAGTAGCTAGTGCCAAATCTGTCCTCATAAAGCACTGAAAACTAACTTCACCACGCTTCTGCACCACTTATACCTTGGAGGTTGTTGGAGACAACATCCGTTTTCCTTCTAAACGTCACACACTTAACCCGCTCTAGCACCCTCAACGACTGCGGTCCCCGCTCCTGGATGCTGCTTATCAGCTCCGGTGTTTGTGTTTGTCAACCGACTTAGTTGTGATTTTAAGCATCCGGTCAAAGCCAAAAGCTCCAGCATCTCAACCATACTTAACGCTGAAATCGGCCCCCTTATTCCAGGTCATCTTAAAGTTCATCTCCACGTGTGGGTTTGGGCCTGATCTAACTCACCGTTTAAGGCAACACTGCCACCCATCTCCACATGCACAATCATGCCTAAACTATCCGAATACCCAGGCAACTAGGACAAACACTGCTAGTCAAGCTGCCTCTAATGATGTCTGACCGGGGGTCCTCAAGTTTCCCCCATCTCATTGCCCAAGGAACAAACATACTTCCACCCACATCCAAATATCGTACACTACCCAAATGCCACCACTCCCGTCTTTTTGATCTGAACTGTCGACGAATCTTGACATCTCATCGCCCATTCTCATAACTCATTTGTCTGTATATCCACATATGTTTTGCCTGGTCGTACTGTTCATCCAATATCTATCCCCAGACACGCACTGAGCCTAACTATACCACGTCCTCAACTTCTGGCTCTGGAGGCAATATAGACAGCGCCGCGAAAACTCTCCCTTCATCCGCGTGCCCTCTTTCGAAGTACCCATCGAACTCCGTGCTTAGTCTCATTCTTGACCTTCTGTCATGGGTTCAGAGCGTTTAGCCCAGTATTAGGTACACCCTGAACGACCATGAAACCACGTCTGGTCAACCCAATATCAAAACCCGCCACTCGAGAACACATCGGGAGCGATTTTAGTACCTTTTGAAACTATCAATAATTTCAACAATGTTCTGAGAAAAGTGCAGGGAACACAAGTTATGTCGAAAGCCTGCGTTGCTGACCTGAGCTTCTCCCATTTGTAGCATTAGTCCCAGGACTTCACTTTACGAATCGAAACACCACTCGTGGAAGAGTAGAAAATGCTGTCACATATGCAAGTTGTTCGCCTCACAAAATGTCCCTGACACAATACATTTTGTAAAATATTTGAGGTTTTTTAGGTTGTGGCTGCGCCATACCGAAGACGTGCCACACTGCCAAACAACTCACCTTTATCTCCAATCTCTTGTTCCTTCATGCCTTGAGGTGCTGCTTACTGTAAAAGTGTTGAAATTTGAGGGGTAGTCAGCAACGCTGTCCGCACACCAATTAACAGCATGAAATATTCCCAGTCGAAACGCCAACGTTCATTGTAGCCACTAACTAGTAACTTGTCTTCCACTACAGTTTCTACGCTCACTTCCTGAAATGGCATTACTGAATCTTTCTCAAAGATATCTGCGATGACTTTTCAACCCCTATTCTTGCCTTAGCAATCTCCGATAATAGTAATCCTATATCCCTACATATTTGCCAGCTAATCACCAACTTTCAACTGAGGTATATACACCTCCAGACACTCATTTAAGAAATCTTGATCAAAACTGTAAACGATGATGCTACTGGCATAGATCAGTGGTCATATCTTGTATAGCATACCAGAGACCACACGGTCTCCATCTTATAGTCGTAAAGCCCCAACAGCACACAAAGTTCTCGCAACCTCCTTCGTACTCTTCTACTAGGTCAAGGGTAGACCACTGAATTGTGCATCAAAAACTGCACTTTGCACCACGTAGCAAATGAACTCTCTTTATTTACACATTTCCCACCCTGCCCGCAACCATCACACAACATCACTCTGTAGTATTCTGTAGTCACGAGAAAAATCTAAGTAAGTCTCGGCCCACGGTTTACAAGAGAAATTTCTGCATGCCCGTATTCCACTGAACCATCACACCAAGAAGAGAAGGTTCTACTTCTCTGATATTCCGGATCTCCGACACTCACAATATTTGTCTAATAATTTAAACACGTAGGTCCAGTGTTTTCAGCCAAAGTTTTTGTTCACGTTGGGAATGGTACCAACAAGTGATGCTCAATCGAGAGCCACAGCAACATTCACTCAGCAAAAAATCTTGAAATCAAGTTGAACCCAAGAAGCAGACAAACTTTGTGCGGTAACATGACATATATTGATGGGGAAAAGGAGAAGAAAATGAGCATAAAAATAGCACATTACAAGTGCCACATTCTCTATTATCTCAACCTTAGTGTTTGTTAAAGTGTGGGTACCCTCCTCTGCCTGCTTTTTCGGGCCACAGTTACACTTATACCTCGATTCCCCCTAGCTGATCTTTTGATAAATTTAACTATTTTGAATCCTCAGTCAAGATAAGGCCGCCTTAGTTCCTCGTTTAAACGGCAGTAATGAACCAGCCTGAGCCCTCAAGGGGCGAAACGATGTCCTCAGACCATGCTGATCTCAATTTGTTACGATTCCCATGCCCATTCCAACCAGCTTGAAAACCTCAACTGACTCATCCAGGATGTTCACGTACGGAAACCTTTTGGAACCTGTTGAGGATACGAAGACTGCCACAACCAGTCTAATGGCTTGCGTGCAGTTCACCCGGCCTGAACCATTCACCGACAGAACACGTTATATGCTCTCAAAATACCGTATGGATCAGCAAAAGTTGTAAATGAACCACAAAGTACAAATTTTTGTAGCGTCTGCGCGTGCCTGATTCTTCCCGCAACTCTATCGGGAACTCAGCATACCAGTGAAGGTGTCCCTTGCAATGCGACCGATGCAGCGTGTGCTGGTGGTCATAGACAATCTGCTAACTTTACTAGCCGCGACGAATTCCTTGGCTTAGTTTGTCGGAAGGGCATGTTAGTAGCATGTTTTCTCGTGAATCCGCTTTGCGTCTCTTGAAAAGTGAGTTCTGTTGCAGAATTTGTGGAGTGCTCTGTAGCATTTGCTTGCAATTGTGTAACAGTTAATGAATATCCAGGAAAGTTCAGGAAGACGCGTTCAAGGAGATGGATATTCAGTATTTGTAAACAAGATGCA